CCCACCTCTTCCCTCACCCGGCAATCGTCCCTAACGCCTGTCTCCTTGGTGCTAGGCTTGTTTTCCTTCCCTGCCTGTGCTCCATAGGTGGCTTGCCCATGAGCCGCGCCTGCCCCCCATCGGACTAGGTCGACTCGCTTCCCCTTCTTGCCGTCCATAGCATGTGTTGCACCACCAGCAGTTGCTTGATTGCTGCTGTCTTGATGCCTTCCCATTCCGTGTCTTCCACCCTTAGCACCCTGAAATTCTCATGCCATTCCCTTTCCATGATCGATCCTTTCACTCCTGCTATGAATGTTGCTTGTTCAACTTCATGATCAGGTAGCAAAGCTGTGATTTCTGCTCGTAGGGGGGCATATTTCTCTTCCTTTTCCTGAAATTTCTTCTTCAGGCATTCCAGGCTTGTTTGTCCGACTCCGTCATATTCCGATGTCCTTGCAAATTCGATGAGGACAATGCGTTTGATGCTTGCAAAGTAGCAGCAACCGTCAGGTATCCAGTGCCCTTCTCGGTGCATTGAAGTCCCCATCGCTTCCATCACGATGCGTATTGGGGTGTCCCACCATGAATTGACCTGTACCCTTTGTTTCCTCCAACTCTGCTGCAGTCTTACCTTGATCTTCTTCATGACTTCATTGTGTGCTTTTTGAATCATATCTTGGAACTGCTTGCACGCTAGCTGAACATGACCCCAGGTTTCTTCTCGATCTGGACAGTGAGGACAACATGGTGAGTTAGTCTTCCCCCATTGAAAGAGCTTCTTCCTCGTCGGTGCTGAGAAGGTGATCGCTTGGATAGCTGTTCGCGTAACTGACCCTTCACATTGTTTGAACCCTCTCCCTAGTAAATCTCTTCCCACATGCATTTCGAGCATGAATTTCTCTGTCAAGGTGAGGTCTCCCGCTCGAATCCTTGCCACCATTGTCTGTTGTCTGATAATGTAGTCCCATTTCTTCAAGCGATCGAATCCTGATGTAGGATTTTCTTCTCCTGCAATGATGAATTCCATTGGACTATCGTAGATTGCTTTCTCCCATCCCGAGGCAAATGTTTGTTTTGCTTGCTTGGCCATTTCCTTTGCCTCTTGAATGTTTCTATGAGATTCTTTTGCTAGTTGGAGTCGGATCCTGATTCCCCTCCCTTCGAGTTTCCTCATGCAAGTGAGTAACCGATCATGTAGGTCCTCCAGCAGTTCGTCTTCGTATCGCATGGTATCCATTCGCAACGTATTTGTCATAAAGCGGTGGAAACGTGTGGACTGGTACATTATTGTGACTTGATTTCCCCTTTTGATCTGTATTCCTTCCTCAAGGACATGTTGCAGAAGTAAACCGATTGCGATTGTGTTCGCTCGGATGATGCTGCACTTCCCATTGATTTTCATCCCTCCTCCTGACGTCATCTCTTTTTGTTGGAGAACATATCCTACTCGCATGGATCTGTTTTTTCTGCCCTGCATGATGTCGCCTTCAATAGCTGCTGTGAAATGCCTTCCGCCTTGATGATCGCTGCACGGCTGGATCTGATCCCTTCGTCTGTTACACAGCTCCTCATACGTTGGGAGGATGTTGTCCTGAAGCTGGACTCGTAAGTATGTTGGGAGTGTGTGCCTAACTAGTATCCATAACTCCTCTGCAGTCTTCATCAAACACCTATTTCCTGTCTGCCAGAAGTTTGCTGCATAGGCTATTTGAGCGCCTTTCGGGACCCGGCTGATAATTTCAAAACCTTCTGGTATCTCATCAATGTTATTCTTCCATCCTATCAGAATGACATGTATTGTATCCAGGATTTGTTCACGAAATCTCTTTTGTTTGTCCATCCAAACCACCACTCTGTGCAGTTCCCTTGCTCTCTTCTTGTCCAGAGCCTGGGGATGTGTGTGTAGGGTAGGCCAGTTACGAAATGTACTGATGTCGCATTCTGTAATCTCCGCTAAATGTTGTAAAAACTCGTATGCCAATGGTTGTGTTGTTTGTTGGCGAACCTCTGATACTACCTCCTCGAGTTGTTGCCACCATGCTGTAGCTTCTGTTTCGCCGTCGTCCAATGCATTAACTATTTCCAGCAGCAGATGGATGCTTTGATTGCAGTCTCTTCGGTTATTACCGTCCTCTTCCCTTGTTGCAGATGCGAAGGGAGCCGAGTCCAGTGACGCTTCCAACCATTCTATTGGTGGATCCACAGTCTTGCTTTCTTCAATTTGAGATCGCTCAAAGATGGCTATGTTCCCTTGAACTTTGAAAGGTATATTGCTTGTAGTGTAACAGAATCTTTCTTGCTGATTCCCTCCTTCACCATAACAGGTGGGGTCATGTTGGAGCCACCGCCTCAAATTTACCCGGGTACAAGCCTTCGTATTCGTTTCCTCTCTCCCTTGGTCCGGTCTGGCTAGTTTCTTGTGTGGCTGAAGTTCATGTGGGCTAGCCTCCCTTTTTCCTTTCCTTCTCTTGTTTAGCGGCTTCCCCTCCTCCCTGGCTGGCCTTCTTCTCTTCCCTGTTCCTGCCTGCTCAAGTCCGAGTTTGGCCCAGATGACATTCGCTTGCAGATATCGTGCAAGGATTTCTTCTGCTTGTTCCCTTTGCTTTGGGAATGGCCAGAGTCGGATGGGCAGGTGCAGGGAGATGCCCTCGGTATCCGGGACGGGTAAGACACTTGTCATGGAGTGGAAGCCTACTTGGGGCAGTAGTCTCCATGCCTTTGCAAAACTCTCCCAGCCTTGCCGAGCAGGAGATGTAGGTAAGGAGTTTTCTCCGGACAGCAGGGAGTTTTCTTCTGAGAGCATCTTGTCCTCCAGGTCGTGTAAGATGGCTATTGTCCCCGGTTTCATCCTGCTTTCAATCATTTCCCAACTGATGGTGGTCTGCATTTTTTCCGCTATCCAGATTGCGAGTCTTTCCGGTCCTCTTATCTCTTCGTTCTCTTTGAGTCTGCCCGATCTGATTTCTCGTTGTAGCTGGTTTATTGTTTGACACCCCCATTGGTTGCACCATGATGTTAGTTTGTGGATCAGACTGCTTTTGATATCATCATCCACCCTGCATTTCTTATTTGTTTCTTTCTCTAGATACCGAATCGCCGCCCTTCCCAAGATGGGTGCTGGATGGGGGAGTTGGAGGCCTCCTCTGTCCCCAGGTAGGTGAAAGATAGCGTTGCTTGTACTCTTGCTCAGTCCCATAGCTCTTTTGAATGCTCTGGTCCAGAGGGTATCTAAGGTTTGTAAGTCTGACCAAGACCAGCTCACCAGTACCGCCGAGTATCTAAAGATATTGACGATGCCTACCTTCACCAGGTAATATTTTTGGGCTGCCGAGTAAGCAGATGATTCAATCAGCTTTGTCAGTTCTTTTGTCTTCTCCAAGATGTGTTCTTTCTCTCCCCACGTGAAGGGGCAGGTGTGCGCCTTGTTGCCTCTTCCTCCTGGTCTCCACAAGCTGATCCGGATCCCTAGATATTTGAACCATTTTGTCGGTGGTAGGTTCACAAACTCCTTGTCAAAGAACTTGATGGTTTGTGTTCCTGGGATCTCCCTCCTTAGCCGATAATCAAAGCTGGTGATTTCAGATTTCTTCGTGTTCAGTTCTAATCCACTCCATCGACAGAATCGTTCTACCACTTGAACAAGCGTTTTCATCTCTCTCACTGAATGTCAAGGTCGTCTGCAAATGACAGATTATTAGGGTGTTGAGTTGCAATCTCGTTTTGTTGATCAAGTTGTCTGGACAAGATGCTGAGCAGAAGATTTGTTTTTGGCGGACTTGCGGGGCTGCCTTGGGGTAATCCTCTGAGAAGTGGGATTGCTGCTGTATCAAACCTCTCAGTCTGAATTTGCAGAGCTATGCCTTGACTGCAGCTGACTGCGACGTCGACATCGCGCTGGTGGAATCCATATACCTCCATGATTTTTGCGATGGATTCAACCGCGACGTTATTGAAGAAGTTGGCAAAGTCGAGGTATAACAGTATAATGTTGTTTTGACTGCTCTGGGCCTCCTCGATGATGTTAAGTAGTCTATGACCTTGACGGATCGTCCCGCCCTCGGGTCGGAAACCCTCTTGGTTATCTGTTAGCAGCTTGTGCCTCTCAGCTGCTTTTGCCAGTCTGTGTGCTATCACCGCTTGGAAGATTCGCGTCACCGACGAGAGGATACATATAGGACGCATATTTTCCAGAACATGACAGAGCTCGTTTTTTGGAAGGAGTCTGACTCGTGCTAGCATGTTCAACAACGTTTTGTCTCCTGTCAACGCTCTACTGATCACTTTTCCTATCTCCTCCTTTGCGCTGTCAGGTAAAGCTTTCAGGATCTCGTTTGAGATCAAATCCATGCCTGCTGCCTTGCGATTTGATACTTTTTGAATCCAAATCTGAATTTCTCCTGGCTCCAGGGGAAAAGCAATTTCTATTTCCCTGGTCGGGTGTTGATCAATGTTCGTGGGAGAGTTGAATTCCGGTGGTTGGACGGAGGTGAATGATTGACACTGTTTGCAGAAGAAGAGGATCGTCGTTTCTTCGTTCTTCTGACCTTTGTCATATAGCGGGATCAGTCGTCCTCGTGTTTGACACTCCGCCTTTGCGCAGGTTCCATTCGTCGTGCAGCCGTTGACTGCGAAGAAGGTTGCCGTGTGGGTTTCATCTTCGAGTTCGCTAGCCAATCTCATAGGGAGAAATTGCTCGATGTTCTTGTATCCTTCTAGGCGCCACCCTCCTGGTTGTGGGAGCAGTTTCCGAATGATTTGTACAATCAAATGTGCTGGCGCCACGGTGAGGGAGAGCTTCTTTGATGTTTGATTTCCCGCCCCGAGGACCTCAACTTGCAGTAAGGTTTGATGTTTTGCATTCCAAAAAGTTTTGCTTGATTCTTTGGAGCTGTTTTGCAGGAATGCTTCCATCAGCGGATCCAGGTCCTGTAAATACTCTAGCTCTGATTGCTGCAGCGCTGGTTGGAGATCGCTCCATGAGGTGAGTTCGATTGTATTTGGGTGGCATTTCTCTGGCAGTTGGCTACTCATTGGGGCTTTGGGCTTATAGTCCGATTTCTTCCCCATTGCATTCTGGGACTCTTTACTCCCTATCGTGCCCAGTCGTCTTCGGCGTTCCTCGCAAGCTTTCAGGAAGGTTTGTTGGTCCTGTTCGGTGCAGATCTCCTTGAATTTGATCATAGTCTCTCTTAGTTCGGCGTTGATACTCGACTCCCTGTGTGCACGATCAATATAGTCTGTGATTTCTGATGCGCTTCTCAGATCCTTGCGAAGTTGCTTAATCTTCCTTTTCAGGTCCATTTGAATCTTCGATGAGTATCGCTTCCCACCTGAGGTTCGTAGGGGGATTTCCTTAATGGGAAGGGCAGTTGTTATCAAATTGATAATGTCGCAATCTTGCTGTAGAGCTTGTGCCGCTTGTATCTTCTCGTCGAGAGCCATTGCCCATTCCACGCCTAGTCGTCCCGATATCTTTTCTATCTCTACCACCCGCTTCTTTCGTCGAAGAATGGCATCTCGGTCCTTCCTTTGTGTGAGCATTTCAACCGTTGGAATAAATTGTTCGCCCTTATCATCTAGCGCAGTCACATTCACCACCAGTGCCCTGTGATCGACTGCGGCTCCTATGATGCAGTCTTCTGCGGTCTCTGATATCAGGCTTACTGTGCGAGATGAATGATGCAGAGCGAAGACATGGTCTAATTTGGCTTGGTGGTGGCCCTGTTTGTACCATGTGGAGAAGGTGAAATGCGAACTGCTTCTGCTCATCTTTTCGCAGGTGACCATCTGATATCGCCCCAGCTCATTTAAGTTTCGTTCCATTTCCTCATCTGCGCGGTGCACGTTCGAGTTGATCCCGTACCCTACTCTCGTGCAGATCTCTGCAAGCTTTCGAGATGCGTTGAAGTCGCCTCCGACGATGCTGAGCTTAATGTTTGGGTCCATCTTGAGCATCTGGCTCAGCGCCTTCCACATGTTGTCTCGGTCCCTCCCCTCCGATGCGATAGGGAAATGTACGTTCGCCAACACTATTGTTTCTTTTTTGCGGCCAACGTGTAAAACCTGTATTCTTTTTTGGGAGACCTCGCGCTCCTCTTCCATGGCGAAGTGCCATGGCAGGGGGGGGCGAGGTGCAAGGTCAGCATGCGCTAATGTCATGAGGCGTAGGTCACTCTTACCCTTTCTCCCGCCCCCCGTGCCTTTCGTGATAAATACTCGATAGCATCCCCATTCCTTCTTGATCATCGTTCGGAGAGCTATCTCTTTCCTCCTCCCCCCTACCAAGACCTCCTGCAGCATTACCACGCTCGGCTGGTATGTCTCAATCAGGTATCCCAAGATGTGTTTCAGCACAAACTGGCTGCACCCATTAACATTTTGAGAGATGATGTTGCCTGGGGTGTTATCCTTTCTGTGCATCTCCACCCATGATGGTTGCTCTGATCTTTCTGTTCGCATTGCATTGTGAGGTTTTCTACCTGTTGTTAGTATTTGTTCCTCTTCCCTATTGGCCCATTGAAGTTGATGTGGTACTCCCCTTCGATCTCTTGCCGGGGAGTGCGTCTCCTCCTCCTCCCTAGTTCCCCTTACATCGTTCGAAGCTTGTTCTTTGTGCTTGCCCACTGGGGGGAGCGATGTGGCCTGCGGCGGTAGTGAGTCCATCTGTTCTGACCTTTCATATGTCCGCAGGTCCGCCATGTTTCTCGCTTGCCACGGTTCTTGCTCTCCCTGCTCCATCTCTTGTGCCTGGGTCACCTCTGCTGCTTGCCATTCCTTGTACCCTTTATCTTGCGCGTGTTGTAAAGCTCTGCAGATGCCTTTGATCGTTTCTCGCATGCGCACTTTTCCTGGATCCTCCACCCAAAGCGCATCCAGCAGCCGGTGCCTCATCCTCTCGAGCCATTGCTGGGGTGGGGGGACGCCTTGCTGCCTACCTGTTTTTGAGATGTCTCGTTGTGTCGGTCTGTTTGTCTTTGCGATCAACAGCAAATGCAACAGTATGAAGATCCCACAGTTGTGATTGTCTGTTTGTTGTAGCTCAGTTGACAGGTAAACCCGCCATGTCGTTGCATGTTCCTGCTGGTCGCTGAACGCCTCCGTGACAATCGTCGCCGCGAGTGTGGCTAAGTCCATTCGTTGTGCGCCTTCCAGCTGAAACTGTGCCTCCCTTTGACTTCTGACAATCCCCAAGTCTCTCTCAGCCGTGCTGAGTGAATCAACAATGCGTATTCTTTTTGTGTCAAAATCTGCCATTAGTAGAATCCAATGATTGCCATTCTCTACGCACGGGAATAAGAATGGCTGGGCTGCCCCGGCTAGTAGTCGCTTTGCTCTCTTTGTCCTCCCCTCTTGATCTCTCAAACAAGCTACTATTCTCGGGAGGACAATAGTCCCTCTCGGCGACTCGACCTGGTTTCTAGTTTGCGCGCTCGCGTACCTCTTGTCTCGTAGCCATGCTACTTGAAATCTGTCTTCCAATGGTTCGATACCTTCGCTTGCCTCGAGGATTATCGCCTCCACAACATCTTCGGAGAGAAAGCCAGCTTCTCCCGAGTTGAGTAGCGCCGCTAATCCATATTCTCTGTTTTGTTCCCTTCGACTCCAGGGGATCTCCCCTACTAGGTCGAATGTTTGTGCCGTTTTTTGATTTTCTTTGTCTTTGTTTTTCTCACCTTCTTGTCCTTCCACCTCACCCTTGTGCCAATTGTCCCACCTGCCCTCGTCTCCTCCTGTTCCTGCGTCCATTAAGCTTGTGCCGCAGGGGGGGAGTCTAGTGACATCCCCTCTGCGTCGTCCGCCTTGCTCCCTTCCTCCGGTTCCTCTTCCATTCCGGCCTCTTTCATCTGTAGTTCAGTGCTCAACATGAACTTTAGTTCGTCGTTATCTCCCAGCATTCCTACCGAAGAGATTACTGTCTCCTCTAGGAATTTATTCAATGCAATGAAGAGCAGGTCAGTCTTAAACTGCTTCTCTTCTTTGGGGGCAAAAGCGCTTTGCTTGCGCTTCGCGACCTTCCATGTATGCTTCTCAACGATTCGTTGGACTCGCTCTTTGAAGCCCTTACTCTGGGTATCCCATGTCGCTCCAGTGCCTTTATCAGCCCATTCTTGCAGCGTGGAGAAGGACGCGTTGCCTGGACTGTCTAAGGCGACCTGCATGTCGTGCACAGCATCGTCAAGACGAAGTAAGGTCTTTCCTTGCTGTTGTAGGTCATTGTTAACTACTTCCGCGATAGCTGTCTTGATCTCAGCAATTACTACCTCTGCTTCCGCGTCGGGCAGGTTTGTTTCGTTGATGATTGAGTTCAGTTCAATCTCTTTCCACACGGTTCCGCCTGCTCTGGTTCCCGGCGTTTGTGATCTGGCTTGGTCAGATTGATCCTGTGTTGCCTGAGGCGACACTTTGAGGTTCAGACTACTTGCTGTCGTCTGGATCTCAACTGTGCCTTGCCAGCAGAGAAGGTGTGTGGGGAATTCAGCCATCATCTTTCTTGCACTCCTTTCACTTCGTAGCCTGAGAATAATTCCAGACCCATCCCACATCCCCGTCTCTGCGTCACATTGGATGTGTACCCGCTGCAGCTCTTTTTCAACCTGTGGGTCCCAGCATGCGACAGACCTCCGGATGTTTCGGATGACTTTGGCTCTGCCCGTTTCGTCACTGGCGCAGATTTTTTCAATCTCACTTCGAGAGAACTTCCCTGATGGCACTGGGGAGGAGATTTGCACTGAGTACAGCATCTCTGCCCCCGTTGCCGTTGCCGCCTCCTGTCGCACAGCATTCTTCGTATGCTTGAGCATAGTCGTTGCTTCCATTTGAACTGAAAACCATTTCAGTATTTTGTCATTCTCTGAGACCAATCCCAAAGTGACTCCTGCTCGATCTTTTCCATGTCGATCGAATGCCTGGAGGACGATGTCCGCTACTTCCAGGCTCGAACAAGTCGCGATCCAGTCTACCTCTCTGTTCTGGTTGACTGTGTCTATTCCTACCGCTGCAAACACCTTCTTTGGCGGCAGGTTCCTCTTGGGGGGGAGGTTCACTGTCATTCCCGCGTTTGGGATCAGGTCGATAATTGCTAGGCCCTGTTTCAAGCACAACTGCCTGTAGATCTCACATATATCACCTGTACTCGAATCATTGAGCTTAAGGAGTTGGGCCACCTCCGCTAGGATTCCGACTCTGCCCATGTTCTCCTTCTTTGGTCGCATCTTGAACGAGATCGGTGGGTTGGCTGCTGGGTTCACTGCTAGGATCCTCCTTCCAGCCACCTTAAAGGTACCTTCTCCTTTCCAGAATTTCTCTGCCGCCTCGTTGCGGACAAAGGTGATCACTGCTGGGATCTCTTCTGCCTTCGCCAGGTCAGGCTTGAGGGGAGCCTTGAAGATCAAACTCCTGCTGTCTTGCGTCTGATCTACGATCAAGCCTTGCTCTTCCAGCTTGACGCATAAGTTTTCAACCTGTCTGGAGAAGTATGCAGGTATCCCTAGTACCTTCATGGTAATCGTCTGCACACTCGTGCCCTGGTCATCATAAGACCTGGCCTCCATCTGCCGTTGCCTGTCTGCTAGAAATTCGGACAGGTACCACTGCCTGGCATCATCCCCCCACTGCCCGAGACCTTTCAGACTCTCCAGTGATGAAGGTTCAGCAAAGCTGCATGTGTGACTGATGGCTTCGGCTAAGGCTTCCAAGGATATCTCTTTGGCTTTCAGAGCTTTGCTCGTCCTGCTTTTGGGATTCTGCCTTGCGAAGTCATCCAGTCGTCGCACAAGCTCAGCTGGTGACGGCATCGTTCCAGTTTCCGTCTGCCTCTTGAGGTAGCTGGAGGTACGGTACTGCACGATCTCGTCAGGGTTCACAATAGATATTGGCCACATGCTTCGGAGCATTCTCAATGGTTTCCCAAGCTTCCGTCGTTCCTGGCGGCTCTTACTCCACCAGCGCAGGGGTACCACAGATCTGCATGCCAGGAAATAAGGAACCTGCCAGGAAATAAGGAACCTGCCAGGAAATAAGGAACCTGCCAGGAAATAAGGAACCTGCCAGGAAATAAGGAACCTGCCAGGAAATAAGGAACCTGCCAGGAAATAAGGAACCTGCCAGGAAATAAGGAACCTGCCAGGAAATAAGGAACCTGCCAGGAAATAAGGAACCTGCCAGGAAATAAGGAACCTGCCAGGAAATAAGGAACCTCCTAAACATAAGGAACCTTAGGGTTCTAAACCCTAAACCCTAAACCCTAAACCCTAAAGGAAATAAGGAACCTGCCAGGAAATAAGGAACCTGCCAGGAAATAAGGAACCTGAACCCTAAACCCTAAACCCTAAACCCTAAACCCTAAACCCTAAACCCGCGCGAGCACTGGGAGTACACGGCCTACAATGCGAACCCTGCTTCTGAGGTCTCTTTCTACTTTCTACTTCTGCTGTCTTCTCTTGGCTTCCTCAGCCTCAGTCAGGAGAGTTGCCTCTCCTCACCTTGGCCTTCGGTCGCCACCTACTCTACCTCCATTCAGCTTCCTCAGCCTCAGTCAGGAGAGTTGCCTCTCCTCACCTTGGCCTTCGGTCGCCACCTACTCCTCCTCCATTCAGCTTCCTCAGCCTCAGTCAGGAGAGTTGCCTCTCCTCACCTTGGCCTTCGGTCGCCTCCTACCTTCTCTCCTTACCTTGAGCTCAGCTCAAGCTCGGTACGGGCTCGCCCCGTCTTCTTCCTCGCCATCGCCTTGCTCTTCCTCCATGTCTTCCTCTTCTTCGTCATCTTCCCTCATCTCCACCCGCAGTCGGTCCTTCTTGTCCACCTTCAGCGAGCAGGCCAGCACGTGCATCTCTGCGAATTTACTCAGTGCTATGAACAGGAAGCTAAGAGATCGACGCTCGATGTCGTCGCTCTCCGCCTCCTGCTCAAGCTCAGCAGCTGCCGTTGCCCGTGGCGAGAACGCGCTGCCCCTCCTTGCCTTCTTGCTCTCTCCTTGCACGCGAGTCCAGCGCTTGCTCTGCAGCCACTTCCCCAGCTTCTCCTTGAGAACGTTGCGTCCCACTCCCTGCTCCTCTGGCGTCTTCGCCCACTCTCCCAGCGACATGAACTCCAGGCTCCCCGGAGAGTAGAACGTGTCGTGGAGGTTGCCAACAGCCTTGTCCAGGACCAGCTTGATCGGCTCGCTCGTCCCCGTCTCGTTCAAAGAAGCTGCATCTTCGATGACTGCTGACAGCTCGCTGACAAGCTGCATGTCCTCTTGGCTTGACGGAGATGCTGCCTCCATTGTGATCCTCTCCAGGTCTGTAAACTCCAGCCACTCTCCCTCGCTCTCCGCCTGTCGCTGCGCTGCGTCGCTGGTGCCCCGCTGACCAGCCGCCTCAGAGTCAGGCTCCTTGTCGAAGCCGACTGCTTCGAGCTTGGTTGCTGCGCCTTCGAGATAGAAGGGCAGCTCCTTCATCATGCGTCGAGCATCCTCCGTGGAGCCGAGGAGGATGCATAGCTTGGACCCGTTCCAGGACTTCGTGTTCAAATCCTCCTCCATGTCGATGCCTTCAACTTTGATCTCGAGCCTGTTAGCGATCTCCAACAAGACTCTCTTGACTCTTGCGATGGACGTGTTGCCGCCGTTGCACAGCCCCTCCATCTCCTTCCTCGTGAAGCGACCAGATGCCGCCGTCGACTTGATGATGATCTTGATCTCCTTGCCGTCCTTGCCGCCTGCCTTCTTCTGCATCCTTGATGCCTTCTTCAACTTATTTCTGGACACAAAGCGATCAGCTGTCAACTCGACTGCGAGCGCCTCTCTGATCTTCGGGTCCTCGCTGAACAGAGTCAGGTGTACTCCCTCCATCGCTTCGCTCTCTCGGAAAGCTCGAAATGCTGTATCATTCGCCTCTGGGCAGCTCGAGGAGACGATCCACTCCACCTCCCTCTGTCTCCAGATGACGTTGGCCCCTACAGCGATGAAGCCTTTCTGACCTAAGCCTTTGTGGACTTGCTGTCCTGGCGCCCCAGCGACCAGCATGCCTGCCAGCGGCTGGAGTTGGACCGCTGCAAGGGACTGGCGCAGCAGCTGATACCGGTAGACATCAGCAATTTCGGCTGTTGTCATGCCGCCCAAGGTTAGCAGGTGAGTCAGCTCTGCCAAGCTGCCCCCTTTGCCCCAGGGTCCTCTCTTGGCTCGAATCTTGAAAGATCGATCGTGCACGATGCTCACATGTACAGCTGTGAACTTGCGACCATCGATCGCGAAGTCCTCTCTTCCCTGCCAGAGCTTCTCCGCTTGTGCATTGCGGAGGAAGGAAACAGTCACCGGGATCTCCTCAGCACTCGCTATCTCGGGTCTATACGGAGCCTTCCACATGATTGCTTTACTCTCTTGCACTGAGTCTACGATCAGTCCGATCTCTTCGAATTTCTTCTTCAGCTTTTCTTCATGGTTGACATACACCGAGGAGATGCCCAGGAGAGTCACGGAGATGAAGGAAGTCACCTCGTTGCCTGCTGAGACGGTGTATGTCTCGACCTTCTCCTTCTTGGCTTCTTCAATCTGCTGCATAAACCACTCTCAGTGGATGCGTCACTCCATCCAGTCATTGCTTCTTGTAGAAGCTCGCGTCGTGCCTGCTGACATGTCGAGCGGATGGCTTCTGCGATAGCGTCGGGGGTGCATCCCTCCACAGCCTTGCAAGCCTGAGCTGTCCTGTTAGGAAAACGTTTCGCGAAGCTCTTCACTTTCTCGACAAGATCAGCTTCGAGGACCGCGGCATCCACAAGCTCGCCCTGCGTGTATTGGCATGATCTCCGATGATACAGGCGCGATGATGTTGCGAACACTTTCATCATACTGAAGAACCATACTTAGAAAGCTATTTGAAGTATACAAACCTCTTGCTCGCAGCTTCCTTGGCGCCCTGGCGGCTTCCCCTACACCTGGCAGGGAGCCATGCTGCCGAAAATAACGGCGCCCTAAACCCTAAACCCTAAACCCTAAACCCTAGAAGCTGTTTCAACTCTACCTAACCCTTGCTCGCAGCTTCCTCCGGTCCCCTTGCGCTCTCCCTACGCGCCGCAGAGCAGCATGCTTTTACTAAGGCCGGCCTGCTTTTACTAAGGCCGGCCTGCTTTTACTAAGGCCGGCCTCTGCTTTTACTAAGGCCGGCCTGCTTTTACTAAGGCCGGCCTGCTTTTACTAAGGCCGGCCTCTGCTTTTACTAAGGCCGGCCTCTGCTTTTACTAAGGCTGGCCTGCTTTTACTAAGGCCGGCCTCTGCTTTTACTAAGCCTGGCCGGCCTGCTTTTACTAAGGCCGGCCTGCTTTTACTAAGGCCGGCCTGCTTTTACTAAGGCCGGCCTCTGCTTTTACTAAGGCCGGCCTGCTTTTACTAAGGCCGGCCTATAAACCCTAAACCCTAAACCCTAAACCCTAAACCCTAAACCCTTGGCATCCAGGATTCGATCGCTGTTTCGTTGTTTCTGTGAAGTTTTTCCATAGTCCTCAGTTCCGGGCCGCCCGTGCCGCGCCTCCCCCGGGCCCGGCTTGACGGTTTCAGTGTGACCGTCTACCTGTCCATTTGTTGCGCTAAGTCCTTGTCCCTTCCCTGCCTGCCGTCTGTGAGGCTTCCCCTTCGGTCTGTCGTTGACCTTTCCCCTGTCGTCTTCCAACCTCGTTGACCTTTCCCCTGTCAGAGTCGTCTTCCAATTGCCCTAAAACCCTAGTAGTAAAACCCTAAACCCTCAAAACCCTCTGGACTAAGTTTATATAAGGGGTTGTTTGTGCTTCGCTCGAAAATGCCACGACGTCATGCAGACGGCATAAACAAGGACTTTTCAAGAATTTAATTTCAGAGCTATGAAAAGAACTTGAGCTCATACTTATCCCATGCATGGAGAAGGCTTTTTAGCCTCCATAGCGAAAGGATTATGATGGAAGAAGGAGCTGAAATGATTCGTTTGCAAACAAAGCGGAAAGAAGAAGATTATGAAAGAGAGTTTTCAAGATGTTCTTTTCAACCTGCTTTTCTTCCATCTACCTTGCAGTGTATTGTTGTAATCACCCTACTTCTTTCAATTATCACACTCTCCACTCAATTGAGCAGTCAAATTCAATCATGGTGGATCAGTGCTCTGGAAGGCGGGATTCCTGGTGCCGCCGCCATGGTCGTACAGGTTCCTCAGTGCAACTCAAGATTTGCGATCAATAACCTCTGATGTTCTATTCTTCTCTGCAGGTCTTCGCTCTTCTATGGCTTCGAACCACAATGAACTACCAGTATCGATATGGCGGGAGCATGAAACAGGCGCTGCTGCATCTCTACAGGGAAGGAGGGATCCCAAGACTGTATGCTGGGCTTCTTCCTGCTCTGATTCAAGGCGTGCTAACATGATACTTGTTTGTCCCTTGTGTTCTAATGCCTTCACAGGTCCCCTTGCTCGATTTGGTGACACAGCAGCAAACAACGGCGTACAAACAGCCTTGAGATCGCTCGAAGGCATTCTAAGCATGCCTTTGTGCCTACATCTCACTTGTCGTCTCTCCAGCAACAAAGGACTGGTCAACTGCAACCGTTTCCCTCGTCTGCTCCCTAGTGGCCGGGTTGTTTCGGATTTTGCTTGTGCCTCTCGAGGTTGTCAAGACGACTTTGCAGGTTCCTGAAGCTTAAAATGTGAGTATGCGATTGACAGAGAGGTCAGGTAGAAGGACGGTCCGGGTTTGTTTCTCTATTGAGAAGAGTTTCTCAACGTGGCTTCTGCTGCTTGTTTGAAGGAGTCCTCGCTACCTTTGCTGCTCACTTCTGTGGTCATTATCCCTGGTTTGCGACTCGCAATTTCCTTACCGGGTGACGAAAAACTGTAAATCATCATGGTCAATTTGACAATATCTCGTTCCTGTCCGTGCCGTTCAGTATTTGGACGAAATCAGACGATGCACCTTTCAATGTTTTCAGGAATGCAGTCATCGGTGAACGAGAAAAACCTGGTTTAAGAGAAGATAATGAATCATGCAGGATTGCTGGCGTCGATTGTAGCAGATACGTTTTCAAATCCTGCAAGGGTAATCAAAACATACAAACAGGTACTGAATCGTTCGGGTTATTTTTTCATTTTTCATTTTCATCGCTGGCAGACAAGCATGGAGCAGATAAGTTACCTCAGCGCAATCCAACAAGTTTGTACAGGGATCAAACATCACTCGCTAACTTCATGCAAAGGTGCTGGCGCAAGGAGGCTTCCAAGGATTTTTCACTCGGGGGCTGGGAACGAAGGTTTTCTGTAATGCAATACAGGCAAGCTTGTTTGGGAAACACATATTTCTGACATCTCTTCAAAAGTCAATGTTTTTCAACATCACCTGGGAGCTCTTCCAAGAGAAATACAAACTTCTAAGATCTGCCTAGATTGCATTTTGCAGAACCAAATCTACTGTTCGCTGTGCAAAAAAAGTGTGACGTCAAAGGAGATATGCGGACAATACAACTCAGACCGGATGTGTTTTTAAAACAAAAAGTTCTACTCTCTACGCTGTCATTATGCAAAGGCAAAGGCCATGTGCTCGGATGTGACTCTGATTCTACAGAAGAAATACCAAGAAGTCTCACTGAATCGTCGCTCAGTTTGTAATAATCGCTTCCATGACCCATCGGTCTCTGCTTCTCCAAAACGATAAACCCACAGTTTGGCAAATTTTTGCTAAGCATGAATGTTTCGGGAGACCAGTGCAACCATCGCATGGCGAAGAGCCTGACAGCTAACCCGTGACTGACAATCAGAACAACTCCATTCTCGACGTCATGTTGACATTGAAAAACTCTCCACAGAGAGTCAATGAACAAGGAAATTCTATCGTAGACATCTGCACATGATTCTCCACCTGGAGGCCTCCAAAAGAATCTCGAATAGGAGTCTTCGTCGCTGCGATCTGGTGCATTCCGTTGAAAGCTTCCACTAAATTCCCTCTCGCGGATCCGAGGGTCTTCATGGTTGTAGAGAACTTTGACATTTGATTTTGAAAGCTCAGACAGAACTATCGAAGCAGTCTGCCTCGTCCTCACATACGGTGAGCTGAAACTAAAAACTGGTCGTTTGCCGATGATTTTTCGAAGAATGCCGGTTGCTTGGACTGCCTGCATGACTGATTAGCAACAATGAGGTCAGCCACATGCAAAAGGCGTCAAATAATGAATAACATAGACCTGTTGGACTCCTTCTTTGGTAAGTTGTATGTTTGGATCACCAACTGATGCATATTTCTCAGGATTTACGTTCGCTTCTGACTCTCCATGCCTCATTAAAATGATAAGATCTGCTTCAGGCATCAGAACATGACATTCATCGTCAACCATTGGATACCTGGTTTATGATAACGTTTCTGATGAGCGATTCTCTTTTCAAGCTTGAGAATCCTTCTCCAAAGCATGTAGGAAATCAGGAGCGTGCCGGTGCAAAAAGCATTCCGAGCCCACGGAAACAAAGCTTCGAAACTTTTCGAAGGAAGGAGAAACAATTGGTTGACAGAGATAGAGGAGAGGAGGCGGTAAGGGTCGAGGAGCGTGAGCATGTTTCTCAGGGATCCATGAGTGTAGCTATGACAAGAGCTGATCGCATTCCAAACCACGTCCCCTATACTTGGGTTTTTATTCAAGTTACTCAACGTTGTTCCCCGCCGCGGCCGGGCCCGGCGCCGCCCGGGCCTGGGGCCGCCCGGCCGGCCGCCGGCGGGGCCCCCGGCCCGGTAGGACGGTATCGTCCTGACGGTACGCCGCCCGGCCCAGTACGCTCGGGGAGTCAGAGTCGCCGTGCCAGGCCGCGGGCTGTGCCGCGCCGGGCACTGGCTGGCACGCCGGCTAGCCTAGTAGTCACTCTGAGCCGGAGTAAACCGGTACGGTCGCTGACGGTTCCAAGTTCCTAAAGTCCCTTCGGATCGCCTAAACATTGAACGATATTGAACGTGAGTGATGCTTGTATTATAGACTAAGTTACGACTTACTAACGGCGGCGTGCCGCGTGAAAAGATCAGTCGCGGCAGTACTCAGTGATGCCGGACTGGAAGCCTCGAACCGTGAACCGTTTGGAACTGCCGCAGTGCCATGATCCAATGATTAAAAGACGTAGACATTGTGGCCTGTCGTTAAGTCTTCCTTGGTATCATGCGATGATAAACAACGAGCTCGCCATGAAGCAATAATTGCCTTGTCTTCCCAATCATGCGTCATCGCTGGCTTCTCATTCTTATTATCGTGGAACTCTTCGGCGGTCGCAGATTTGTCTTCTTTCTGCAGCTTGTCTGTCTTCGAACCCAGCAGCTCCACAAACGCTGAGTCCAGTATGCCTTGCAAGTCCATGCTAGACGCGCGATGATCCGCAGAATACATGTTATGCTTGTCTTCGCTATTTCTGAAGGAGTTGCTACCCCAGCTGAACGGAAAATTCAGCAGTGAAGACAATGATGACTCGGAGTCCACGTGCTCTTGAGGACTCATTGTAAGAGACTCGAAGCTTGGGGCTGCGATAGACTGTTGCTCTGTCTCATCGAGGTGAAGCATGGGGTTCCTACGTCTTGAATCGGACTTTTTGATATGTCGCTTCGGTTTTGTTTGTTCAGAAACTGTGTCTTTGATGTTCGGTCGATGACTTGCGAGATTTTCTTCATCGTCTTGCTCTTCATGACTTTGTGAAGTTGTTTTCTCTTGTTCTGGATTGCTCTTTGCATCAGAATATTGTTTTTCAGCTTTGAGCCATTCATGGACTTTAATCATGGAATGTTTCTCTTCGGCCGATAACTGATTGTAGCGCATGATTTGACTGAGAGAGTTTCAAGGGTGGGATCGACGGGAGATAGAGGTAGTTGTGTGATGTGATGGTGGCGGAGCCTTAGAGCCTTTAAACAGGAAAAGAGGTGGAAAGGGCGATGACCCAGGCAAGGAGGGGTCATATGAGCCTGTTTGTCCAGGTGAAATGATCTGTTCGACTCGTGCAGTCCTGAAGTACACGATAAGAAGTCTTTTCGACTGTCATCGAGGTTCAAGTTGAGGCGAAAACATACACTATCAGGTCTGCACTACGGCTGTTTTAGTACCCTACCCCCTTCGTTACCTATTTCATGACCGGGGTACAAAACGAGGTGCAATAGCAGATGCACGCTGACTGTCATCCAGTCTGGGTGTAAACTATAACGGTTCCGGAAGCGTGCAGTAACGGTCTGAATGCCTCGGCGGGCCTGCTTGGGCACTGCTACTTCCACCCGCTGGCGCACAGTCGCAAGCACATTTTCTACTAGCGATGGCGATGGCGATGGCGATGGCGATGGCGATGGCGATGGCGATGGCGATGGCGAACGGCGTGGAATCAGTTGGAAAGATGGAGTCAGTACAGAGAAATCTGCAGCATCAGTACTTTGCCTTGTCGCAAGGGTCAGCGTCGAGAAGCATCAAAGTAACCTTGCCTGCCTTCGTTCCACCCTTGAGATCCCAAAGAAGAGTGTTCGAATATTCTGCCTCTTGTCCCATCCTCGGCAGGAGTCGAGCATGCCCTTCTTACGCGGCTATGATCCACCTCCGCTGCTGGAATCAGCGCAGGAAAACTCGACGACCTTGTGCGTTATTGCCGGCTCGGATGCAAAAAGAGTCTTTTGACGACGACGATCCCTTGAAAGATCTCCCAGAGTTCGAAGAGCTTGAACGATTGCAGTATCCCATACCAGAAGGAGAGCTGGTAAATATATCAGGAGATATCTTTCAACGACAAAAAAACGGCTTTCGGAATCTGAATGTCTCGGAGGAAGAGATACAGTCTAACAAAGAGCAGGAAGAAAGGATGATGAAGAGGAAACAACAAGAAGTCGATATAGAGCAATCACTTATTGAGACGGAGTCAAGAATGGGATTTCCCGAACAGGACCCTGAATCTCCCATGGATCTTGAATTTATACGCGAGGAATATTTAGAAAAAATGCAAGAGAATCTGATTACTCGTCCAGACGAGGTTGTTGCACTTGCTTCTTGTGTGAACCAGTTTACGCCAAACCTGTTTTGATCATTTTCTTACGATGGACTTCAGTTTGCAGATGAATTTGACCAAATTTGGCGAAACGAAGATGAAGAGGAGCAAGTATATCAAACTCTCAAGAATGAGTCATCCGCCAAAGACTCAGTGACCGTGGTTGGACTTTCTTTAGAATTTTCTCTGAATAGTCGAAATAAGAGCCTTGATGTAGGAGACCGCACTGGACAATGATGACAGGGAGGAGGACAACATTATCCAAGAATATTCGCAGGCAATTGAATGGATGCAAGTACAGAAACAGGATGTGGGGAGTGAAGAGGCTTCGAGAAATCCACCGATAGTGAAAAGTCTGTATTTTGATCCGAACTCATGATTGCTTTCTCAAACAATCAATAGGCTCGAGACTGGAGAATGAAGATGATATCAAACTGCTAAAAAAGAAGCTAGAAGATCTTTCCCAGTCTGCTCCATCACAAGAAGAGATGGCGGATGTGAGTTGTGATGTATGCAGATTGACGAACATGACATGGATGCAACAATCAGATTGAGCAAAGGCTTGGTTTAGCATACCTAAGTGCAGGAGATTGCAGTCAAGCTCTTGTGCATTTGAATATTGCTCTGAAAAGTGCGTTTTCTCAACAGTACGGAAAATGCAAGGTTGTGTAAAGGTTGTCTTTTGACAGTGCGTAAGTCAATTCATGGAGATTTGGATGAAACTATTGCATCCTTGATCAATGACATTGGTGAATTCTATATCATTCGAACTGCTTGTAACCAAAGTATATTGCAGGAATGACGTATGATGCTTTGTGTGGTATGCACCAAGCTTCAGCGTCCTAGGAGATTCATGTCTATCCGCAGAATATCAACTCGCGCTGGATTGTTTCAAGCAGTCTCTACACATCCGCAGACAAGTTGGATCGCCAAAAGTACATGTTCCTTGTTCTATGAATGTACTGAGCACAGGCAGTATCTTTTAGCTACATGCCATTCCAATATCGCTGGAATTAGGATCAAGATGGGTGAGATTCCTGAAGCACTCAAGAGCTTGGACAGAGCATATCAAACACAAAGGTAGTCGCCAATCAAAGCTTTTTTTTATTGACAGAGTTTATGCTGAAGTGAAGTCTTGGAAGAAAGCCATCCAGCTCTGATTGCAACGATGAAGAATCTTGGATGCGTTCACATTTCACGTGGAGATGGGTACAGGGCACTCTATTACCTGAGAAAGGTGCGCTTGCTGCAGACGATAGAAAGAACTTATTCTCGTCAGGCATTGAAGGTTGAATTAGCCATGAAGGGTATGCAATCAGAAGACGTCGCGGTCACGATTTACAACATTGGCCTCGCTCACTTTCAGGTGCCTATGTGGATGGCAAGAGGTTGTGGGACTAAATGGAGTCATCAAGAATGATAATTACGAGAGGGCCATTCGTCGATATGAGCAGGTATGGTTTGTGATCAGGTTGTCAGGGTACTTATGATGTCACACGGTTCAGTCTCTGGATATTCGTCTCAATGTTCTCGGGGAGAGGCATCCAATGGTAAACTTTTCACTCATGAGGATTGTCTGTGTGATGAAAAGGGCCAGGTAGCCATGGTAGTCAAGAGCATGGGTCAAGCGTATTTTGGTATACAAGTCACCTGGTTGACCAATAGTGATGGTGTACTGTAGCTCAAAACGAAAACGAACGAGCGCTCAAGTACTTTCAAAAGGTATCCTGGTTTACGTGGTTTTGAACCATGCAGTTGAATCGGACTCAGGCCCTTGAGATTGAGAATGGGTATTTCAAGGAAAGCGAGATGCACCTCCAACCAGCTGTAACAAAATTCTACATGGCGAAAATCTTGGTCAAGTGAGAGATTGAAAACCATCAGTGACTTGTTTCTGATTCTTTTAATTTTGTGAACAGGGAAAATCTCTTCCAGCAAGCTTTGGGGCTATATAAGCAAGCAGCATCGACTTTCTCGTACAGATTAGGAGAGAATCCATACACGCAAGAAGCCCTTGATGTAGGTTTTTAGTCTGATGAAGCCATCTCACTTCTCACATCACAGGGACAGCGACTTTGCCAGCTGAAGATGACAAACTCCTTGAAAATAGACTTTCCGAAACCTCGTGGCTTGAGAGATAAAGATTCGTACTAATCATTGAACACCGGCCTCCTTCAAAGTGACCGTACTCCCGGATCCGCGCCTCCGTGGCAGCGCCCGATCAGGTAGACCAGACCTTCCGGGCCGAGAAATTCGGAAGTTGACATAGTAGTGACTGACTCTCAGAGACGCGGCTGCCTGGCAGATCGTGCAGACTCCGCGGCGGGCTCACCGAGTTGGAGCCCGGCCTGGACCGCCGGGCCGGGTCGCCCCGCCGGGACCCGAGTCACTCAGAGGCAAGGGATGAGGGGGGATGAGGGGTTTATGTCGTCCGTTGGTACGCACGCCTCCTCCCAACCTGTCGCCCACTCCCTCCCTCCACGATCCCCTCCGTTCCCTCCGTTCCCTCCGTTCCCTTATTCTCCTCCTTCCCCTCTCTACCTTCTCCTCCCTCTCCTCTCTACCTTCTCCTCCCTCGCCTCTCTACCTTCTCCTCCCTCCCCTCCGTTCCCTCATTCTGTTCTTTTCCCTTTGTTTCTCCTCTCTGCACTCTCAACCACTCATCCTTTTCCTCTTATCCTCAACATCAGGGCTGACAGTGTGAATCGAGTTATAATCAGTCCTACCATCTTGCCAGCTCCTCGCATGCGTATTGCCTTCCCTTGTGCTCGCTGCAACATCCGGTGAGATGCGTCGAGGGGAGGGCTGGAACATCAAGGCTTGAGGCCAACGTCTCCTTGCCTTGTTTCATAGACGGGGGTGTAGAGTTGAGGTAACAGCGTGTGTGAGCGTTGGAGGCATGAGATCTAGCATTGAGATTGCAGCAAAAAAGATCTGGAGGTGTTGGAGAAGCTTCAGAAATCGTAGGATCTTCGCGTACCTTCGTCATGCTGTCTGCCGAGCAGAGGACAGCTTGACCCATCAGGTTCTCCGCAAGATCAGCCCTCTCGAGGCTTCTGTCCTCCGTGATCCAACCCTCAATGCTCGTCTTCGTTTCCGCTTCGGAGGAAGCAACTTTCCGCCGCTCATTCTGTACAAGATCTTCATCAACGCGAATGTACAATACATCGCCGGGGCCAACCGAATTCTCGCTGGCAGCAAGGCAGCTGAAGATGCTTGTGACATCATGGGGGAACGAAAATATTTTGACATCATTCTAAGCGACGTCGAGAACTGTACACCGTTATCTGACTCGGTGCTGATCCAAGACGATCTCAGCCTGCAAACCCGGTTGAAAGAGCACAGCATGTTGGATTCACATGCTGTGTGGCTGGGTGGACGAGGAAATGGATGGCGGGTGTTGATCGACGACAGGTTCATCATCAACGAGAACGCCCTCCGCTTCTCTGCCTCCCGAGATGTTCAGAGCGGCAAGTACGAGAAGATCATGGACTCGCTCTTGACGGTAAGCTTTTCACCCTAAACCCTAATCCTACCGGTCAGGCCTCCTCCTGCTTTGTTGACATGTCGGTTGCAGGGCCTCGAGAGGTCAATCGCCGCACAACATGTGCATGCTGCCGTGCCTGTGAAAAAGAAGTTTGCCTCGAGAGACACCCTCGAGCGAATTCATGTGACGCAGCAGCGGGTGCGGAGCCAGGAGATGAGGAAACTGTACTCGTCCCACCTCCGCGAGGACGACGACAAGGAGGAGAGACATGGCTGGCAGCACCGACAACTCAGTCACCCACGAGAAGATGGAGAAGGTCATGGACGGGGACGGGGATCGCTGTCAGGGGACGAGGTGCTTGACGACGAGAGTCTTGAAACAGCAACCGAGTCCCTGCTGGACTGGGCTGGCGAGCTGAGCTTTGAGAAGTATCACGAGGCGTGGGAGAGAACAGCGGCTACCATCATGCCGAAGTTCGACAACCCTCTTACAGGATCCCCTTGACGTGGGATGGAGGCGTAGATAGATATGTACTGATGCATTCACTCAGACTAGCTGCACCTACCACAACACACACTTGTCCTTGGGGTTCATCCTGGAGTTGATCGGGCACTTCCAGTCCCTGGCGAAGTCTTCGTTCTGCGTTAGCGGTCCGTTGACTCGAAACTTGTCCGGCGAGTGCTCGTCGGTCTGCAAGGCCATTTTCATCGACGGGTCCCGCTCCTTGTCGCACCAGTTCTGCCCATACGACACCCAGAAGAGATGCTTCTGCCAGATGGCTGGCTTCGCCTGCTCCTCGCACAGCTGAAACGTGAGCGGCATGTCCTCCTTGTCGATCCCTCGGCAGAAGTCGTCTGTATCAAACGTCAGCGTTTTGCCGACAAGCCTCAATACTTGTACCTTTGAACCAGTTCAGCCATGCGTGATAAGCTGCCTTGAGGCCCCCGAAATCTGCGATGTTCTCTCCAAGAGTAAGGTTTCCCTGTCAGCTCGTCAGCGTCATCGGTGTGACAGCCCTCCGTCTCACCTTGACATGCATTCCCAGCATCTCAAACTTGGAGTAAAGCTTTGCGATGCACTGCCCACGAGCTTCGAACTCATCTACAGTCTTCCTGTCCCACCAGTCTCTTAATCTGCTCTCCTGATCGTACTTGCGTCCAGTGTTGTCGAACCCATGCGTCAGCTCGTGGCCCATGATCGCTCCTACCCCCCCGAAGTTTCTTGACATGTCGTACTCAGCGTCAAAGAAAGGCTTCTGCAGCATCCCGGCTGTGATAAAAAGACCGTTGACAGCGTTGTCGTAGTAGCTGTTGACTGACATCACGCTCATGCTCCACCTCCTTCTCTGTGGGGCAGAGAACAGGCGCGCAAGCTTCTTCATCTTCCTGTGCTCGCAGGAGACCAAGGAATTGTTGAAGTAGGAGGTGGGGCTCACTTCCCAGTCGCACTCATCCCACTTGAGAGGGTGCCCGCACTCAAAGAAGATGTTGGCCAGCTTCTCCAACGCAGCTTCACGAGCCTGCTCAGACATCCAAGAAACCTGTTCGAGGTCCTGCTTGAAGGCATCGCGAATGTAATCCAGCATCGTGAGAGCAATCTTCCTGTCCTCTTCCGAGAAATAGTTCTCGATGAAGAGTTGGTCAACGATCATCGGCAAGGCGCTCTTGGCCGCTGCTACACATTTGTGCCATCGCTCAGGCTGCTTTGAGATGCCCATCAGGTTGGCGTCGACTTTCAAAGTGGCTTCGAGGAACTCATGCGAGAGCAGAGGCGAGAGGTTGTAAACCAAATGCCAGCGCAGATACGGGATGAGACTCTTTGCACTCCGCTTGCCGAAGAAGTCATTCAGCCTTTGGAAGAATTCCGGGGCTTTCACAACAATATTGTTCCTCTCGGTTCCCACTTGCGAAATCCCCATACGGTCAAACAGCATCGTGAAGTTTACGTTGGGATAAGATTCGACGAGTTCCTGTTGAGAGATATGCTTGAAGGATTTCTTCAAAGACACGTATGGCTCCAAACGCTGATAGATCGCCAACTCCGTTTCGATTTCGAAGCAAATGTCAGCATCTGTGTTTGCTTGTTCCTTCGACAAACCAGCCAGAGTCAGCTGGGTGACAATGAATTCCCGGTAGGCAGCACGATGAGACTTCATCTCGTCGTTATTTTCAGTGTAGAAGGTGTAGTCTGGAAGAATAAGGCCTCCGGTGCCGAGGTAGAAGTTCATCAGCTGTGGCTCCAGGTTGTCAGCTCCCACCCACCAATCAAAAAACGCCGGGACATCCCAAAACTATCGCAGTCAAGTCAGACCAAACGGCACAACATGTGTAGAATCGACCTGAAACTGAGACATGACTTCCCACAGGTCTTGATAGGTCTCGATATTCGCAATCTGTTCGAGGTAGGGCTGCAACGGTTTGGCTCCTTGCTGCATTGAACTCGATCAAAACAGGCCACGAAGATTCGAATCATAAACCTCGTTGACATAGTCCACCATCATGCAAGACCTGTACCAGTCACCTGCTTTCCCTTGGTCTTTCTCGAGAACCTGAAGAATTCCATGAGCTCAAGCTAAGTAAACTAGTCGCCACCACCTTCCGCATCTCGTCGTAGATCTTGGCAGAGCCTCCATCCCAGGAGCGTGCAAACCCCCCGAGGTCCTCAGGTATTTGAACATGTTCCTCAAAACCACCACAAGCATACTATTTCGTGGAAACACGTCAAACCAAGTTCACACCGTTACAAACTAGCACCTGATAAAAATCTTCGCAAGGATCTGCACTCAAATCCATCTGTCTCACCTACTTCAACGTGAGTGCTCGACCATCCACGCACTTGTCGTCCACACACCACTGAAGCTGGGAAATGCGCTGCTGCTGCCCGCCCACGTTGCACTCCAAGTGGCGCGATCGAGACGCCGAGGGGGTCATGCACACTCAAGGTTGAGATTCTCTGAGATTCAAGGGAGCAGATCAGCAAGGGCAGGGCAGGGCCATGGCGACTGACCTGAGGTGGGGAAAGGAACGCAATGGATCCTATGATTGAAAGAGCTGCTGCTGCTGCTGCGAACCCCAGCGAGGCGAAGACAGCGTTCTTGCTGCTCATGCTGTGCAAGCGCTCTGCCATGGCAGACGAATCGAGATCTCCCTGGCCAACTGCCACTTCCCCTGAACAAACGATCGACGTCAGTGCCTTGTCAAGCCTGTGATCTTCTCAACGACCGTCCTTGCAATCACTTTCCCACAGCCTCCTTCCTTCCTCCCATCTCCTGTGTTTCCGACCATCGAGTAGATATCCGCTTCTTCGGTTCGCACCTCTATTTTGGGGACCATATCCGTCTCCTCTCTCTTTCCTCACCCGCCCTCCTTGCACAAAGTTGTCAAGCTACCCAACTGTTGTCTTGCACACGACTCTTTGCACCTACATACTCCTCTTCTCTTCCCTCGACCTCTTGCCAACTTCGTTTGACCTCGCCATCTCCATCGATCGTATCTCTCTCCTCAGCCTCTCTCTCCTTCTCTTCCCTCTTCCTCTTGGTTACCTTGCCGTCGGCCCTGCACTCTACTTCGCCATTGTGCGAAGAGGCACTGAGATCTTTCAGGGTGGGTAGTGAGGTATTTTCGGGTGGATTTTCAGGGTCCAGAGTCATAAGGGGTTAAAAAGTATGGGGTATAACCCAATAAAACGAAGGTAAAATAGAGGTAGTAGTTTGTTTAGGTGGGTAGTCATTACGAGGGGGCTGAATCACTGGGAGAATTCGGGGTGGGGGTATATAGTGTGAGGGAAGGGAGGAGGTACTAGGGGGTGGGACCGGTACAGGAAATGAGTACGGTCATCCATCATTTGTGGTTACAATTCTGTTGGAGCGTGAACGTGAAGGCGAAAATGAAGCCATGATCATTTCGAAGCATGTGATGAACTAGAAGAAACAAGACAAGACAAGACAAGACAAGACAAGACAAGACAAGAACACACGAGGCAACAACAGAACACGTAAGACAACAGCAACCACTAGAACCCCTCGTGGTTACTGGGAACAAGAATGTTCATGATCGGGCTACGATGTGGTGGAGCGCTTGCATGCTTCATGATGGCAGCGTATGCGATTGGAAGGTACGTGGAGTGTCAGCAAATGACAAAACAAAAGATGAGACGGAGGTGTTGACTGAAAGTGCTAGAGATAGGAACTACCAAGGTGAAAGGCAGTGTATGAGAACCTTGGATTACACGAGAATCAGTTAGTGGGATTAGGATTGTGTGGTTTCTTCTGAATGTCTACCGTCTTCCTGATGAGCTACTTGTATCACTGATCATCAAGCTGATGGTGAACCATGGCAGGCATACCAAATCTCACGACATAGCACAAGCAGAGGACTCGAGAAATTCGCAAGAGTCAGACGAGCTTACGGCAGAGGTCGGGAAGCTTCGCAAAGAGCTCGAGGAAATGAAATTGAAGCGCGAGGCAGACCGTTGTGGGAGAATCCGAGCCGAGAGGGCATTGCGAGAGCAGACAGTGAAAGGCGATAGAAACAAGAAGGTGATAGAGGCTGGAACTACTGAACAAGAAGAGACTATTGGGAGAGAAGGAGACGGAGACGATCTCAACCTCTATCGCATGAGGCCGATAGGTTGGCTTCGATCCTGCTATCGGAGAAGGTTCGGTACTCCTCGACAAGGTACAGTCGTGCATGGCGGCCGGGCGACCCTTAAGCTGACATCGGAGTGTAATCCCCTGATGAGCACCTGTAACCTGTCGGATTATTCCCATGTGTGGCTGATCTACATATTTCATGAGAACACCAATTTGGGAACCAAGACTCAAGTGAAGAGCAAGGTAGCTTCAAGCAAAACTTTGTGCTCGAGGCAACTCACTCGCTCGCTGCGAATCAGGTTCGGCCCCCGAGGCTGGGAGGAGAAAAGGTGGGCCTCTTTTCCACAAGGTTGAATCGCATGCGCCTGGGTCTGTCTGATCCTTCAGGTCAGGACTCCACATCGACCCAATCCTATCGGTCTCTCTCTCGTGAGGCTGCAGAAAATCGAGAAGGGGGTATTGTGAGTTTTTTGTCCTTGGTTTCCTCTTCATATTCGTTTGATGCTCATTTTTCAATACACTTGTTTGCCAAAATACTTGTTTGTTGTATGCTGTTTTGTTCAATGTTCGGATTTGTTGTATATTTGAAGCACATTTATTGAGTCTTACGGCATGTCCAGGCATTTCTCTGGTCTGGACCTCATTGATGGGACACCGATTCTCGACGTCAAGCCCTACCTGCCTAGCTCGGACAGCATTCCTCCCGAGCAGGTTGCCATGTCTTACCATCTCCAGCCTCCGACGAGCCCTCGCAGGTGTCAGTGCCTGGATGGTTCAATGCTCCAGTGGTCAGCGGTCATGAAGCAGTCTTCTTCAGCCCCTCTGCTGAGGAACAGCTCAGGTTCTGATTTCGAAAAATTTTACTCGGCAGTGAACGTCAATCAGGGATGTGGTAGATGACCTTGAATTCTACGACGATTATGAGACCATCTGCTCTACTTTGAAGGAGGTTGGTTGACTAGAACTCGTTAGCTCTCTTGTTTTGGTCCATGACAAGCCCTTGTCTTCAAAGGTTCTAAGTAATGATATCCGATCCCTGCGCATGCGGGACTCTGACAGTGCAGAAACAGACGAAAAGCCCAACATCCACTTCGACAATGTGAGATTGATGAGGGGATGATAGAAAGAATGCTGAGCTGTTGCCTTCGCAGCTCAAAATTTTCTTTCAAGTGAGCCAAGCAAACACGGTCGAGGTTACATGTGTCGAGCTCGCAAGAGTGATCAAGAGAGCTTAAGGTACTTGTGCGTCTTCCATGGCGACAAGCTTATCGTCTCCTCCCCTCCTCTCAGCAGGGCGTTGCAAGCAGCTGTCAAGCAAGGATCGGGGGGCGGTATGGGGGCGGTTCTTACAGCGAACCCCCTCTTTTGACTACAAAAGTACCGGGTGGTATCATCCTAGGGTAGGGCATAGGTCTCTGTATATAGAAACCTCGTAGGAAACCCCCTCCAGCTGGTCCTAGGAATGATGGTAGAAATCATTATACTTTTATACAACATTGCTTAGGAAGATATGAGTTCCTAGAACCCCGTGAAGAGCTGACGTAACCCCCCAGTCATGTACCCACCCCTCCATTACAAGATACAATGTGGTACCTACCCCTCATTTCTACTGTGCAAATCACCAGCCCCTTATGGGTTCAAGAAAGCCTATGGTCATCAGCTGTACAAGATAATTTCTTAGTGTTCTAATCGAATGATTTACAACCATAACCCCCCTACCAGACACCTACTTCAGTTGGTAACCGTCACCTCCTCGCTAGTTCATTATGCCTCCTTCAGTATTCCCCACCCCTGGGATTTCTCCAGTACCCCTCCAAACATGACTACCCTACATGGCCAGTGTGGCGAATGGAGATGCGAAATGAGTTATGAGAGGAGCGGAAATGAGAGAAGGAAGACTGAAGGAGGGGACAAGGCATGGGTTGGTCAAGGTTAGCAACAGATGAGGTAACGAATGTTAAGGGGTTTGTAAAAGCGTGATGTGAACTGGCGAAGAATGAGATTAAGCAATGGAGAAAGAAGCAATGGAGAAAGCTGAAGCAAACCAGAGAGCAATAGGGATAGATTGAACGTAATGTTTGAAACTTTTTGATGCGCCTAAATCTTCTCTGTGCGAAACAGTCAGAGTGAGCTGAAAATCAGCTTGTTTTAGGTGAAATCAGTCGTTTGGGATCGGAATATTGCTTGTAGGTTTGATCAATATATCATGCCTCCGATTTAGAATCGATTCTGGTTGAAATTTCATCCTGCCTCCTCTCTCAACTAGTGGAGCTGCATGGTGCTCTGTTCGTGCATTCCGTGGACGCTGAAGAAGCAGAGGGAGCAAGTGAAGGACAGCGAAGAGAAGGACGGAGATGAAGCGAATTGGCAGCCTCTCTCGGACTACCTCAGCGCAAGTGAGATGCAGATTCTCGGTCAGCTAGCTTCGCGAGTCCGCGTCATGCTGGATCCTTCCATGCCCGCCACCTTGCATGGCACCTCTCGTGTGCAGAAAGGCGTTCCCCTCGCCATCGTCAACCCGAACGCGCCAGACAAGCGCTACGTGATTCTGCACGAGCTTATGCACCATCAGCTCGACGAGCTGGGCTGCCCGAGCTTGTGCTGCACCCTGCAAGGACGAGAGCCTCCTGCGGACTCGTGGCTGAGACGAACTCAGTTTCAGGTGATAACTCTCACTCTGTTCGTGCATGAGTGAAGCTGAAGCACGCGCGGTGTCAGATCTTTGTGCGAGGTCTCTTGGTCCAGCTATGGGAGCTCATCCAACACTCGCGCTTCAACTCGATGATCGACCGCGTCTTCCGTTGCGGCCCTCAAAGTGCACGCGATGGCGAATACCGGTGAGCAATCGGGTCACGACGTGTCTGTTAGAAGCTCATGCCAACAAGTTGCTTGTGTTTGTGTTGGTCCATGGGGGAAGCAGTGCGAGAACCAAGTAAAGAAGGAGCAGGAGCAAGAGCAAGAGCAGAAAGAGAACAAATGAGGGAGCAGAAGTGGGAAAAATAAGAGGAGGAGGATTTGAAGCGTGGACTTGGCTTGGCTTGACTTGCAATGTCTTGCAGGGGCTACATAAACAGAAATCTGCTGCCAACGTACGGAATGTGTCGAAGTGACGGCCACGTCTCGATCAAGAAGGTAATGGAGATGGGGGAGTGGAGGCTGCTGCTGGGAGGGTTATCAAGACTGGAGACGGAGGATGTTGCGCAAGCAGAAAGTTGTTGACGAGACAGAAGGAGAAGCACAAGAAGTATCCTTACAGCGCTTAATGTGTGTGCGTCAGGTTGCTGTGGCGGCGCATGTTGCTACAGTATTCCTCGAGTGCTCTCAGGAGATGAGGAAGGAATTTTTAGGTGGGAAGAGATGACGTGGAGTTGTCAGTGACAATGACGATGATGATAGAATATGTGAAATACAAGTACTTGGACTGGGAAGAGATAATTGAGGTGATTTTGCTCTGGTGCTGCAAACCTTAGAAGCTGATCACTCCCCGTCTCTCAGCTCGGCAAGCACATCTGCTCCTGCATTCACCCGTGTGATGTAGAATTCCTCAAGCTCTCAAGCAAGGTCTTCAACCCTTCCACTTATCCCTCATGCTCTCCCTTTTGTTTCTGACTTCTATCTTAAACCTCCTCGTTTCCTCTCGCTCGCTCTCTCGCTCTCTCTCCTTGTCTTTCTCTGCTGCTTCGTTTGCTTCCTTTTGAAACTTGCAAGCAGGAGCTCAATACTATCATGTACTCAATGCTCGACGACCTTAAGCTGGTCCTAGAGTCACTTGACCTCAGGATGAATGTAGAAGTAAGCAATCCTCTCCTCTCTCCTCTCCCCTCGCTCCTCTCCCCCCTCTCCTCTCTCCTCTCTCCTCTCTCCTCTCTCCTCGCTCCTCTCCTCGCTCCTCGCTCCTGATCTTCCTCCTCCTCCTCCACTTCTTTTTGTTCTTGGTTGAAGCGTAATCTCCTTTCAAAAGGTGGGAGAGATAAGGCCACTGAAAGTGAAATTCAATCAGCGATGCAGGTTCTCCCCTCCTGCTTATCTTCTCTTCTTGTCCCTCGTGCTCCCCCCATGTTTTGTTCTGCTCTGCCTCTCGCAGCCATGTCGCTTTGACATGGTCTTGTAGCACGGCGGTTAACATTGACTTTGTCAATCCCTCGAAAACTTCTTCGTCGATGGTCAGCGCCGGTGGTTTCGGCGGCAGGTGAAACATATTCGCCCCTCCTACATTCTCTTCCTCCTCCTCATCGTCGTGATTGACATCATCTCTGCTATTTCTGCCTTTCCGCATGCTCATTATCCACTTGATCGTCCTCCTCCCTTGCGCGTGTTGACGCAGTGCTCGGCAGATTCGGCTTCGACACGAGGCAAAGGAAGGAGGATGAGGGGGCAGCGGTAGGCAGCAGGGAAGGCGATTGGAGGTCAGGGGGTCTGACATGGGGGAAGAAATCCAAGAACTCCGTTTGCTGCATCGAGACGATGGGAAGAAGTCAGCGAGTGATTTTAAGATGCGCCTGCTGCTCGTAAGGCAAGCAAAAGGAGGAGGAGGAGAACGGGTAGAAGGACCTGGAGGACACAGTCGGCATACTTCGTTGTTATTGTTTCTTTGCTAAATCAAATATTTGCTGTAAGATCCGAACCAGAGGGACTTGGAAGGGCGGAAAGAGGAAGAGGAAGAGGAAGAACGGGAAAGGTGATGGAGGAGGAGGAGGAGGAGGATGGGGCGAGGGAGGGGCGAGGGAGGGGCGGGTTGGGGGGTCAACAGTGTCAAGTCCATCGACCAACGTAGGAGAGCGCCTGGGAGACATAGCGAATCCACTGACAGGATCGTGAGAGACGATGACAAGTAGAGGTGAAAGGAATGAGAAGAGGAGAGAAAGTAAAAGAAGAGGACGAGAAAAGTCTTGAAGAAACCTTGTTCGGCGACTTGCTGCCACCCTGCAGGAACTCAAGCTGCTTGATCTGACAGAAACTTATGAGAAGCGAGATGAGAATTTACGAGAGAGAGAGGAAAGGAGGCCGGGAGACAGAGAAGGGGAGGAAGTAACGAGGAAAAGGGTAGAGAACTACCTGCAGCCCAGAAAGGACGTACATAGGAAGCTCGAAATGAACTTTTACAGCTCCAAACTCACTGAGATCGCAAGAAGAAGCCTGAAACGATGAAGAAACGATGAGAAGAGAAGAAAGGGAGCAGAGATGGCAACGCCATGGAGAAGCATAAGTCGTAATGAGAGACGCGGAAGAAACAAATCCAGGTCAAACACAAGGAGATGAAAGAGAAGAGGACATAGAGGAGAGGAGGAGGTGGTGGAGGAGGAGGGAACAGCGACCTTGGTGTGCGAAGGCAAGACAATCTTTGCCCGAACAATCGCTTCTGCTCCTCCTGCTAGACGTCAGGAGAAGGGAAAGCAAACACAGAATATGAAACAATGTTGAGGCAAGCAACAAATGAACTGATTTCAGATAAAGGAGGGCAGGAGGCAAGAGGAGAGGGGAAAGGGTTGAAGAGGATGAAGGAAAGAAAGAGAGAGAAGCAGCAGAAGAAGCAGCTGCAGCAGTAGATGAAGCAGCAGAAGCAGCTGCAGCAGAAGCAGCTGCAGCACAAGTAGGAGACAGAAGGTCAAGCAAGTGACTGGTCGAATCTCTCACCTGGCATCTTAGGGATCACCCACGTGACCACGTGATTCTTCCTGTCCAGCTCAGCGCGACCTGATCGGAATAAGCGAAGAATGAGGACAAAGACAGGAACACAGGGATCGAGGAGGAGGAGGAGTGATAGGATGGAGGCGAAGAAGACAAGAACGGACCTGAAGGGAGCGATTTGCCGTCTGGTAAAGGAGCTCCTGCTGTCTCCACCGACACGCTGGAAGAAAAGTCAATGAACAGGAGAAGACCAGAAGGAGCATTCGAATGAAGGAAGAGATGAAGCAAGCAAGGAGGTAGGAGGAGGAGGTAGGAGGAGGAGGGGGGGGAGTAGGAGTACGACGTAGGACAAGGAGGAGGTAGGAAAAGGAGGAGGTGGAAGCAGGTAAAAGGATGTAGGAGGAGGTAGGAGGATGTAGGAGGAGGTAGGAGGAGGAGGTAGTTGTAGCAACAAGAAAAAGAAAAGAGGAGAAGAAAGAATGACGGAGGAGCAGAGGGGTGGGGGCAAGGTGAGGGACCTGGTGGCCCAGGAGGGGAGGGCAAAGTGGAGGGTGACGTTGGTGGCAGTTCTGTCTGGTGGGAACTCTGAACGGACTCGGATGACGTAGTCCAGGCCGTTGGGCCCTTGCGGCTCCAGGAAGGGCTGGAGGGTGACAGGAGGGAGAAACGCGCTCTTGATCCTGCCGGGTCAGTGAGGCGAGGGAACATGGCTAGAGGAGGAGGGAGGGGAGGAGGATGAAGAAGTGGAGGGTGAAAGAGGAGGGTGAAGAACAGGAGAGAAGGCATCGGCGGGTGATAAAGGTGAGGATGAGAACGAGAACGAGAGCGAGAGCAACCAGACAGAACGCGAGCGAGCAGACAGGACGCGAGGACGAGGACGAGCACGGGCAGAACGAGGAGGAGGAGGAGACGGAGACGGAGACGGAGGAAGAAAATGGTGAGAAAACGGAGGAGGAGGAGGAGGAGGAGGAGGAGGAGCAGCAGCAGCAGCAGCAGCAGCAGCAGCAGCAGCAGCAGCAGCAGCAGCAGCAGCAGCAGCAGCAGCAGCAGCAGCAGCAGCAGCATACCTGTATGTGAGAAGGGTGAACTCTCCGTCAGGAGCGAAGAAGTTAAACTCTGCACGTTTGCTGCCTTCTGTCCACCTCACGCACTCGTGGAAATTCACATCCTGTGGGATCCAAAGTCAGAAGAACGCCTCCTCCTCCTGCTATCCAACGTCAAGGGTGAGGCTGGGAATCCCTCCTCCTGCTCCTCCTGCTCCTCCTCCTCCGACGATTCCCAGGGAAGTGATAGAAATGTCTTCGTTGAGCGACAGCTTCATTTCCGGGCTGGCGGAGTTCGAGTCAGAAGGATCGTTGGGGAGACACGGCAGAGGTCAGGAAAGCAGCAGGTGACGTGGAGGAATGAAGAAGCAAACATGAGAAAGAGAGGGGGTAGGCAGAGCAAGGCAGGGCAGGGGCAGCACAAGAGGGGTGAGTATACCTTCCAGTTAGGAAGCTTTTCAGCACAATGGCTCCGTTGATGTAATGGTGGGTTATCCGTGCGTTCCTGGAATTCGAAGGTGGGAGGTCAGAAGCAGAGAAAGAAACGAAGAAATCAAGCAGAAGAAAAACAAGAACGACAAAAGACAGTGACAAAAAACCAGAGACAAAGAACAATAAGGGAATCACGATCCCTTACCTATCAGAGACGACAGTCAACTTCTCTATCACGTCGACGAAGATGGTGTTGTCCTTTCTATCAGAGGTCCCAACCTGCATGCTCGTCACGCTGAATGCAACAAGTGCAAAAGACTTCACAGTGATCGGCTTGTTCGCAGCCGCCGACGTCATCGTCTTTCTCTCACCAAGATTCACCTGAAACAAAAATTTTAGTTTGCACTTCTGCATCCAACCTGCTGTTCCAGGCATCCTTCTCCTCGACCTCCTCCTCCCTCCTCTCTTTTTTCCACTTCTCTCCCATCACCATCACCATCACCATCACCCCCTCCCCCTCACCTTCTCCGCCAGCGCGTCGGAAAGTTTGTTCAGCTTGCTGCTTACGCCTCCTGCAGTGGCTTCAGAGGAGCAAGATGGGACTTCAAGCAGCATCTACCGGAGGAAGGGGCGTGGACAGCGACGGGCTCGTTGTAGATGTATGCTTTCAGCAGCTCCGTCGACATGCCCTGCCCAGCCATGAGAACCTCCCCTCACGCGCCCGCCATGCTGCACCTGCGGGTACCCGCGATCGAACACTTCATCCAAGAGCTCGTAGAGGAGGAGGAAGTTCCTCCTCACGCTCTCTTCTGTTAGGACGCCGCAGTAGTCCTGCAATGCAGTCAACAGAGGAGGAGCGAGGAGCAGCAGACAACCTTGAAGACGCGGGACAGGCGCTGGAGGAGCTCGATGAGAATGGAGCTCTGGATGTTCTTGGTGGTAGTGAAGACAAAGTACATGTGATTGAGTTGCAAGTGACAGTATGTGACGCCGTCGATGAGGAAGATGGGTGGGGCAGCTCGCTTCCCCTCAGACCTTTCCTTCTGGACATGCTGCAGGAGAGATCCGCAGTCGATCGGTTCACAGTGCCC